TGTCCCTTCTGTACCTGACACAGCCCTCTTGTCTTGATTGGACAAGTCCTGTCTTCTCTGTGAGTTGATTTCCATGCTTTTCTTAGCACCAAAAACTAGTTCAATTCCCAGTGCCAGTTTACCTCAGCATTATCCAGCTATCTCAGGCTTGCTCTTAAGGACCTTGCTGCAGCATCCCCTGTGATCAGGCAGTTTATTGAGCTTTCCTGTAAAGTTTCACCCAGGAAGTAACATCTACCCATTCAATAATATCTACCCTTGGTGTCTATTGTTTTCTTCCCAAGCCCTGCTCAGACAGAGTGAGGTAGACTCAAACCAGGACTGTGGGGTCATTGTAGAATTACCAAGGAGGCTGCAGCTTTTGTCTTGACTGCTTCCCAAGCCTTCTACATTGCCAACCTTCCGAGTGAATATCTATGATAGAGCATTTTCTGAGATACCTCTGTTCTTCCTTGCATGCTGTACTTTCCCTTTAGGTCACACAGTGCAGAAGTTGGGTATTGAACCTTTGAAGAAAAAAAAAATCTACAGGAATAATCTATAGGCTCTGTAGGAAGATCTGCTCAATGCAAGAATGATCATGTTGACCATGCAGAAACAACTCACATCCGAACTGTCAAGAACACTGGAAGAGAAAACTTCATTTCATAAAAATCAATGAACCATGTTGTAATATATATATGTATATATGGAGCTGTAAGTATGAAGATATATTTTTCTTTTTTAATTTCTTTCTTTTTTTTTTTTTTAATGGGGGTTCATGCCAAAATCAATGGATGTTATTCCTCATTTCTTCTGAAACAGCAATTAAGGTTCTAATTCCTTAAACTCTTACATGACTTAACATCATTATTTGCTTTAGATCAGTAAGCATCATCTGACAAAAGAATCTTGCAGTCTCAGGTTCTGTAGTCTGAGAAGAATGGTTATTATTCCCACAGCAAAGGGAATATTTGATACTGTAAGAACAGAGACCATGGAAAGCTTTTGGAGAGGAGGCCTGGTTGCAAGGCAGAGGGACTCTCAGCAGCAAGCCCTGGGAAGTTGCAAGAGAGGCGGTTTTATTCATAGAGAAGATGAGGGAAGTGAAAAGGGCTCAGATTTTCCCTTTCTTTCAGAGTGAGAACTCATTTTACTTACTGTTCCAAGTCACCATGCTGATACTTACCTCTTCTGTAAAGTGCTCAGATATCTACAGATGGGAAGAAGCACCATTACTCAGCAGCTGTAAATTTCCAGACCTGCTTCTCTTCCAGATCTCCTGCTCTCTGTGCTAGATGCTGTCTTCATGTCTCCCACACTGGTGTACTGCTGCAGACTGGGAAGGGGAGAGCATCTCTCATTCACTATGTAAATCCATTGATGAAAACATAAAATGCATTGTGCTTCTAAAACTTGCTGAGCTTGTTTGAATAAATGCCAAGGATTAACAGCATGTAAATTCACCATTGATTTGACAACAATGATGTTATGTGCCCCAAACACTGATGGGATTTGTTCAGTGTTTAGGATGTGGGCTCTGAGGTGGAAAAAAGGGATTGCTTGTAATTTTTTAAGCCTCTTTGGCTGCACCAAGGCAGACTGTTGGTATTATATAAATTCTTTAGATAAAATAAATATCAGTCTTTGCATAAGGAGAGTGGATATTTAACTTTTCCAGTATACAGCTGAACAGTAATTCTGTGGATTGGTATAAGCCAGGAAATAAAAATAGCCCCATCTCTTTAAAATAGGGAGGAAGGAGCTGTGGGGATGGAAATCCCAAAGGCCAGCAGTAAAGCAGAGGACTGTGTCTTAGAAACAGTGAAACAAAGATGTCTTTTTATGAAGAAAACTAGAAACGTCATCTCCACTATTTGTCCCCTCTCTGTTTGCCTCTCCCTGCCTCCAGTGGTAACTTCACAAGTGCTTACCTGTGGAACAAAAACAGAGCTCCCCAGGAACATGCTGACATCTCTTTAAAAGAAAAGCATCCCAAGGTGTTGTGTTTTTTTTAAATACACTTGCTGATGGATAGGTTCCTAGATCTGTATTCCAACTTAGTACAGGGCCTGATTTTCAAAGATGCTCACTGGGCGACAATCCTCTCACTATCTGCTTTCTTGTTAAGAGCTGTCCTCAAAGAGGGGTTTTCAGATGTTTATTTTGCTTTTAACAAGAAACATTTGTTCATCTATTGATAGAAGAATATAAAGTATGTCCCCTCTCACTTCAGCCCTCCCATTGCATTAACCCTGCAGCCCCAGCCACAGTTAATCAAAGTGTGCAAATTTTACTGATAATACGGCCTCACTTCCTCCCATCAACAGGGGCTTAGTAGGATATCAATAGTACCCAAAACTCAGCAGAAATTGTTACTTTAATGCTTTTCATGGTATTAAGTGGCACTGGGGAAAGTGAGGCCATCTGCAGCTGTGCTCAGTCATTCCTTCCTCCATCAGCATCCCAGGGCAGATGCGGTAGGTTGGATATTCAGGTTTCAGGTTGGATATTAGGAATAATTTCTTCTCCGAGCAGTGATGCAGTGGCACAGGCTGCCCAGGGAGGTGGTGCAGTCACCATCCCTGGAGGTGTTCAAGAGCCGTGTGGATGTGGCACTGAGGGACGTGGGCAGTGGGCATGGTGGGGGTGGGCTGGTGGTTGGACTTAATGATCTTAGAGGTCTTTTCCAACTTTTATGATTCTATGATACTGCTCTGTGTGTTATGTGTGTATTTGAGGAACAGAAAAAGAGTTTTCTAGTGAAAGGACTCTTACCTTAAGAAGAAAAAATTAAATACTGTGTGTTCACTGCTAGACTAAGCACCTAATAAGCGCTTAGCAGCTTGGCAAAGGATGAGCCAAAACTGATAATACTGTCTCCCTAGTGAGCCTGCCTACTTGGCTTTAGTGCTTGTGATTGACTACAATGGGCTTCTTGCATCCTTTCCAAAGCTGGGTCTATGTAAGACTAGGAAAAGTAAGTTGTTTTTTTTTTTCCCTGCTCACCAGCTCTGTCACAGATATTTCATAGTATTTTCTATTGGAGCCAGACTGTTAGGAAGAAAACTTGCAAGGAACTCACGTTTATTACCTGCGCATCTGTTAACCCTCTTTTGTACTCATAGAAATGTTTCTTCAAGGGGAAAACTCTTAATTATTATGCTTCAACAATTTTAGCTTTAAATAAGGGCAGACATCATTCAGTCCCCTATGTTGCTATTATGCAGCTTACACCTAAGTGCAGAGGACCATCTAAGTGGATACAGTCCTACCTTTTCAGGTTGACTGGTCTTGAAAATAAAAGCATCGGAACTCATTCTCATCTTCTTCAAAATTTGTCTGAAGAATAACTCACCCTGCAAGTCAGAAGAGACCGCTTGCCTTGAGAGGGCAGGCAGATCAAAGCAGAAAGATTGCCTTCCTGGGCATTCCTGGGGTTGCAACGCAGCAGTCAAAAGCAGTGCTCGAGGTGATATTAGCACTTCAGAATCACATATGTACCCTCCACAGTTATGCTTGACCAGTCACTTCAATATTCTTTTCCTCTTTGTGCTGGGCTTGCACTTTGCTTACCAGTAGCGCTGGCTTCACCCAGAAACTGACAGGTGATGGTCAGCCATGCATCCAAGCTAGAGGCAGCTGGAAACAAGCAAGTACTGTGCTTGATTACTGGAGCCTGCTTTACTCAGAAACCTGATGTAGGATTTCTGCTAATTGTCCTGGGCAATGTCTTGGCCTTCACTATGTGTCTCGTGCTGTCATTTATTCATAATAGCTTAGGAAGGAATTCTTTTAAAAATAAGCTAGACAGCAGATCCTACAGTGAGGCTTTTTGAGTTGTACTTACATTAGAAATTTGCAATGGGCTTTGAGAGAGCCTCATCTTTGATTTGTGGCTTCGTGGCTTTTGGGTGCACCCTTGAATGTATGCTTCAGTTTGTTCCTTTTATGGGAACACAAACAAGTCTCACTGCTTTTGCTCAGTAGTTGATAATGATGCATAAAGACTGTGCATCTTGGTCCCCTGAATAAGTGCTTTCTCCTCTCTCCAAACTCTTTATTTAATATAGCACCAATGGAGTTTATGACTGCTCTTTCACTCTTTGTATTCCCAGACGTAGTTTCCCTCTGAGAGGCATAAGTCAGATTGTATGGGATTCATCTCACCAGCTCTGCTTGTCCAGAAAGAGGTTGAAATTAGAATTACTTTTTTACTCAGTTGAGATGCGGGCAGCAGTAAAAGATGCCTCCTGTCACATTGTCTAGCCATTCACAGTATAGCACGAGCCATTGGGAGGCATCTCTCTCTCTTCACTGACTGAACAGGGAGCCCAGACAACTCATTTACACTGGATGTCTAAGTTTTGGGCTGCTGAAAGTTAGATGTGATGAGTCTCATGAGACCACTTGTTGTCTCAAGGCAGACAGACAGTTGAAAGCCTGCAATGGAAAAAGAATGATATTTGTGCTTCAGTGAAGTATATGCATAGAATCACAGATTCATTAAGGTTGGAAAAGACCACTAAGATCATCTAGTCCCACTGTCAACCCATCATCCCCATGCCCACCAACCATGTCTCTCACTGCCACATCTCCACGCTTTTTAACATCTCTGGATGGTGGCTCCACCACCTCTCTGAGAATACCTTATCACTCCTTCAGAGAAGAAATCTTTCCTAACATCCAACCTGAACCTCCCCAGTGCAATTTGAGCCCATTCCCTCTTGTCCTATCATTGTTACCTGGGAAAAGAGACTACGCATCACCTCATTACAACATCCTTTCAGGAAGTTGTAGAGTGTGATAAAAAAGTTTTGCCCATAAAAAAGAAAAATGCCTATCAAAGACAAAATAGATATAACTGATTCTAGGGAGATCCATGAAAATATATGTCCAGGTGAAACTTAATACATAAAGCCATAAATATTATTCAAATATTTCCATACATCTCAATATACTGCATTTTACATGAAATTTAGGTGAAGAGAGTTTCTCCCTTTTTCTCTCAATAGTGCATTCCCACCAGCGCACTGAGAACACATATGCTCTGATTCTGGATCAATGCTCAGCCATAAGTGGATGCTGGATATTGCTGAGCTTCCATATGTGGCTGGTGTGCAGGTAAGTGGCTGTTCTCCTTCTGCTGACTGTTACTGCCGAGGGAAGCACAGCCCATGGGGGCTCCCATCAGCCCATCCTTGCTCCACATGGGGAACTTGCTGGAGGATCCCTGCCCAGATTTATCAGACACACTTTATAGCACACTGCAAAAAATTGTCCTTTTCACAAACTCAAGTTAGACTTGTTTTTCTTCTCTTGGAAGAAAACTATTTTATATTTTGAGCAGACTCTGCTTCAAGAAATGACAGAAGCAAAAGCACATAAGCACGAAGCCAAGGGCCGGGGGCAAAGACCCACAGAAGGGGCCTCCTCCCCAAACATCCCTTAGAATCTGCCTGGCAGCTCTTGTTCATCCGGAAGATGTGCCGATGCCCCAGGGCAGAAACCGTCCCATGCATCACAGCCTGGCAGCATCCCTCCAGGAGATCTGGCGCTGGTTCCCACCAGACTGTCATCCCCAGGTCAGTCTCCGCATTTCTGCTGACCACGTTGCCTTCGTCGTGAGATCATGTCTTTCCAGAGAAATCCCACTAATGCCTTCATTCTGCGAGACCGGTATATATAGGGGCAGCCTTCCCCAGGCTGCACTGTGCAGGCCAGCAAAGGCATCGCTGTCCTCCAAGCGGTAGCACTGCTCCCACGCTCTCCTGTTAGAACAAGACATAGCAGCAGCAAATATGGACATTACCATCCAGCACCCCTGGTTCAAACGCGCCCTGGGACCCCTGATTCCAAGCCGTTTGTTCGACCAGTTTTTTGGAGAGGGTCTCCTGGAGTACGATCTCCTGCCTTTGTTCTCCTCCACTATCAGCCCCTACTACCGGCAGTCCCTCTTCCGCAGCGTGCTGGAATCGGGCATTTCAGAGGTAAGGCTCCTCACCACCCCCTCCTTTGCCTTCCTCTCCTTCTCCACACCTCTGCTGGCTTCTCTCTGCCCAATGTTTTCACGAGTGGGGCAGAAACTTTAGCCCTGTGCTGGGGACGTCAGACTTAGCCTGGGTTGCCATACCCAGCTCCTTCTGGGAGCCCAGGTCCTTGGCTTGGGAGAAGGCTGCCCTTCAAGGAATGGAAAGTTGTTTGTCTCCCTACCGTTCATCACGTCACATACCAGTCTGCCTGTGTTGCCCCTCAGCTGTTTGGTAAGGGAGGAACTGAGCTTCTCCTGGAATAAGCACCCATGAGCTGGGCTCCGCATTGGAGAGGACATGGGTGAGCACAAGCAAGAGTTTCTCCATCCCCCTTCTCTGCCTTGGCAGCCCCTCAGTTTTTGCCAGCATGCACTGGAGGACCTAGGAGAGTTCTCCAAGGGCATGAGGAGCGGTGAAGGCTGTAGTCTGAAGCTCAGGGACCGGGGCTTTCTCTAGTCCACTGGTTCCTCCCAGAAACTAGTTACAGATTTGAAACCGCAAAGACATTCTAAATTGCTGAAAGGACAAAACACATGCTGTCACGGAGCATTAATTTTAATCCCCTCTTGCTGCTGAGCACAAATGCTCAGTGCATCTGGCAAATTTCTAAGTGCAATGAAAGGGGTGCACGACAAAAGAATAGTGGCAAGAAAAGATCCATCTGCCCAGGGCAAAAGAAATGGTGCTGCAAAGACCCCCAGAGTCCCTGATGCCTCACTCTCCGCCCTGGGAAGGAAGACTCCTTCTGAGACTGGTGGGCTGTGGATACAGCCTGACCTGTAGCCTCATTAGAGAGAACCGTAAGGCTCTTGGCTTTTGAGGCTGATGCAGCCTTTGTGTGTAAAGCCTGGGTCTTAATTGCTAATAATGTTCCTTTCAGGTGAGGTCTGACCGGGACAAGTTTACAATCATGCTGGATGTAAAACACTTCTCTCCCGAAGATCTGAGCGTGAAGATTATTGATGACTTTGTGGAAATCCACGGCAAGCATAGTGAAAGACAGGTAAGTGGAAGTAAGCAGGGTGGTTAAGCAACTGGGGAATCAAGCTCTGCTCTATTTCTTTCCAACATTACCCAAGGGAAGAAAGAAAAAAAAAGAGGAGTTACAAATTGTCATTCTTGGCATATCCAGCTCTGATGGAGCCCAGATCTGATCTGATGGCAGTAATGAGCTAATCCAGCTCTCCTTTGTTTATGTTTGACCATCATCTTCCATAACCATCAGATGACAATGTGCATTGTTCACTAATAACACCAGGCCAGAAGAAGAGTATTATTCGATGCTGCCACCGAATAATGGATGAGTTTTTATAAACCAGAATTATTAGGGGAAACAGAGAATTCATATGCTGATCTGGAAGAGAAAAGCAAAACAAAACAACCAAATGCCTCAGGCTTGGAAACTTTTAACATGTATGTCATGGAAATATTGGTGGGTGTTGAAAAGTGAGTTATACTAGTGAGGGGATTAATTCTTCTCCTGAACTTTCTGAACTTAGAGAACTCCAGCCTGGAAACAGTATTTATTTGTTTGTTTTTAATATAATTATTATTTTCTGAAACTGTTACTACAGAAAGAAAATCAGCCTTTTTCATGGCTAAATTAAAATATATATATATTGTGTTTCTGATTCTTTTGATGAAAAAAAGGGGTCCATGACTGTATCCTTTGGTTGACAAAGTGCCTCTGCCTATTAAGGAAACACACGTGAATACATGCATTGCTCTTCCCTTTGTAGAGCCTCAGGCTTTCTCTTCTTTGTCTTTGAAGTCAGAGGTCTTGACAGCCCACAAGCAAATTTAAGTTATACTTTACTTCTCTTGAGGCTTCAGAGTGTCATGAGGGGACACCTGATCCTACAAACCTGAAAGATAAAACAAGAAGCAGAGATGCCCTGAGTAAGATCTCAGGTCAAGCCAGGTTCAATGGAGACCACTTCTGATGAACAGCAGGGAAGGGTGGGCTCTAGGGGCTTCTTACAGGGCTTTCTCCTCTTCTCTACATGTCAGGATGACCACGGCTACATCTCCCGTGAGTTCCACCGCCGGTACCGCCTGCCCGCCAATGTGGACCAGTCTGCCATCACCTGTTCCTTGTCCAGCGATGGCATGCTGACCTTCTCGGGCCCAAAGGTCCCCTCCAATATGGACCCCAGCCACAGCGAGAGGCCCATCCCTGTGTCCCGGGAGGAAAAGCCCACCTCTGCACCTTCCTCCTAAACCCTCTGCGGTACGCAGGCTGCCACCGGCTGCAGGTCTCACTCCTAGAGCCATTGCGTAGATATCAGTGAATACCTAGAGGGGTTTGTTCTGTTGTTTGTTTGTTGTTTTTTTTTTCTTTTTTTCTCCCCCGTATGTTTATTTTCTCCCCTTGTATGGAATGAGGTGCTGGGTGAACGGCTGGTGGACTTTGAGGCTTAAACCTGCAATTCATGCTGTCAGGATGGCATGGATTTCACACGCCGCCATGCCATTGCAGTTGCCAAAAGGGTCTTCCTCTGGTGCAGTAGTCCACAACCACCACCAGGAAGGACGGAGTGCACGAGTAACACCATCTTCTGGTGCACAAATGCTTGTAGTGGGACTTGGAGTGGGGTAGAAGCCCCAGAGACTTTTTCTGTCCCACACAGTTAACTGGTTACTCCAAAAAGTGCAACTTGGCCACGCCAAGCCCCACACTGGGATACCGAGTATGTGCGATAAATGTACCACAGGTTCCTTGCAACCACAGGACAGATAATAATGTGTTACGTTTGAGGGTCACAGCATATATTTTTTCTCAGCAAAGTGTTTCAGTGTGTCTGTTCACACCACCAGCCTGTCACTTCCTTAGGGACATCTGACAAAAGGACAAGTGTGTCTTTCCAATGTCTTAGCAGTGGGGAGAGAGGGGGCTCACCGCTCTGCAGAGGCTTCAGACCGCACCAAACTCTCCCCAGCCTGTGCATATCACACCCTTGCTCCTGCCCTCGCTGTAATTCTAGTGTAGCTCCATCTGACCCACTGGTATCTGGCACTCAACCCGAGAACTCAGTCCCTGGCAGTCAATAAAGAGATATAGGAAACACGCAATTGGCTTTGGGGGTTTGATTTTTCCTTTCCAAAGGTTCTGAAGTGGAAAGGTGAACGTGGTGCCTTGCACCACTCAGAGGATGTACTTTCCACCACATTTTGTAATTATTTTGTGTATTTGCCCTTTCATCTTCCTTTTATCCTTCATGCAAGTGAAAGAAAGGGATTAAAAAAGAAAAAAAAAAACCAACCTCTCAACAACCCAACACTGGGCCATTTCTTAAGCAGAGAAAGTAAATGGTTGTTAATTACAAAGCAAGGCATCCCTGTGAACTCTAATACTATTTTAAACCTATTTTTACTGTGATTAATTATCAGGCAATTCCAAAGCTTTCAACCAAAAAATGTTCCAACTCTAGGGGAAATGCATGAATGATCATGTTTGGGAAAAGGATGGCATCGTACTGGGAGTGAGCAGCTACTGCAGGGCTGGGAGGCAGGGAGAGGTCATGGTAAAAAAAAAAGCTGCCTCTTTCTGCATCGCCTGGCTATAAAGAGCCAGTGGCCACTGCTCCTTTGCTCTCCAAGGCACCTACCAGGTGCTGGCATCTCTCCTTCCTGACACAAATCCAAGAGAGCTGGGAGGAAAGAATCAAACCAGCTTCATGGCAATACATGACAGGAGATTGGAACTAGATGATCTTTAAGGTCCCTTCCAACCTAAGCCATTCTGTTATACTATGAAAAATTCTATGATCCTATTGAAAATGTGAGAGGCTGCTATAAGCTTCTGTGTGAAGACACGCTGGTGTTTTGTGCAGGGGTGGAACGTGTCCCCGAAGGCCTAAAGCTCAAACTGAGGCCTCAAGCATAAGGCAACCCTTCTTCTAGTTACATGTCTGTGGGATACCCCTCCTCTTTGTTGCACTTGGCTCTGCAAAGACCATTGTTTCCTTTCACCAGGATTAATGTTCTTTTACAAAGGTCTTTACAAACTGTGATCACAGTTTTGAGAGGGAGCACTTCACCACAGCTTTTCTGCACAAATTCACCTGTTAGCAAGGTGCTACTAACACACTTCAAGGATTAACAAAATTTCTTGGAAAGTTTTTTATTAGAAACTCAATGATGACTTTGTCATGGAGTGAAAGGCAGGGGGGAGCCTGCCTCAGGTTGCTGATGGCACCTGGCAGTGTCCAGACAGTGTGGTGTATGGTAACTGTACCAGGATTTATATAATCAGAACCATAGAATATCCCAAGTTGGAAGGGAACCACAAGGCTCACTGAGTTCTGGGGATGGTACAGGAAAGTCCCAGCACAATCCACACAGCAGGACTGGAGCCAGAGATATCCCATCCTAGCTTGGGTTAGGAGATTAGCACTTAGATTGAGACCGACTGGCACTTTGGTGGAAAAACATGAGGTTGGGACATGGCACAGGCGTTCATGGCACATGTAGCACAAGCAGGGTCGAAATTAATGATGCAGTGGATGTTGGGGGACATAGCACAGGGAGAGTACAGTGATGTACTGGAACAGGCTGCCCAGGGAGGTGATGAAATCACTGTCCATGGAGGTGTTCAAGAGCCGTGTGGATGTAGCACTGAGGAGCATGGTCAGTGGGCATGGTGGGGACGGGCTGATGGTTGGACTAGGTGGTCTCAGTGGTCTTTTCCAACCTTAATGATTCTATAATTCTTTGGCATCCAAGCACAAATGAACAGTGCTTCGAGCCATGTCCATTCCCACTCCTAAACTGCAGCAATGCAAAGAGATCTACCTAGACCATGACAGAAGTCAGGAGGCCTAAGGGACATCAGCTGAGCTTGGTTGTGGTCCCTGGACACCACTGCAGGGACTTTCCTACTTGACACACTCGTTGCTTTCAGAGGATGTTGCCATGTGGTGCTGGACAGAAGGGCACGGCGCAGGCAGTTTGCACTGGGCGTTCACAGAGGCAGGGAGAGCAGGAGGGCAGACTATCTCTCCCCAGTTTGGAGTCCAATTCACCTGTCAGCTGCCTCCCAGCCACGGTCTTCACTAGGTAGAGAACTCTGGCCAAAAATAACGTGGTGAACCAAATGTACTGCCTGCTCAAGAAGGCAGCTGTTCAGATCTCTGACTGCAGGGATGCCTGAACCTGCTACTGCCAGTGGAGGGCGGCAGGGATTCCACCTGCGTGAGATGTGAGAGGGAAGATCTGCTTAGCATGGTGGCAGAGCTCAGGGAGGAGGTGGAGAGGTAAAGGAGGGTCAGGGAGTGTGAGCAAGAGACAGACTGGTGGAGTAACTCCCCATCACACCTGTGAGAAAGACACTAGAGTGATTCACCCCAAATGGTGTGGTGGACCCCTTGCCCTGCCACTGTTGGGAAGAGGGAGGGGACCTAAAAGATGGTGAAGAATGGAAACAGGTCTCCACTCAGTGTCACAGGCAACTCCCCAGCCCTACCTACCTTGGTTGCTTAGGTGTTCCTATGTAATAATAAGTTTGAAGCTCTGGAACTTGAGGAAGAGGTAAGTGAGGATGTGGTTGAAGGTCCACCCACGAGGTTGTCTGAGGCAAGGTGGTCAACTCCACATCTCAAGACTGCCTCTGCCAAGAAGGAAATAAGGATAATTGTCATAGGCAACTCCCTTCTGAGGGGAACAGAGGGCCCCATATGTCATCCAGGTCCTACCTATCCTATCCAGGTAGCCAAGAAGGCCAATGGCCTCCTGGCTTGTATCAGAAAGTGTACCAGCAGGGACTGGGAGCTGAACATCCCCGTGCTTGGTGCTGGTGAAGCTGCACTTCGAGTGCTGTGTTCAGTTTTGGGCCCCTCACTGCAAGAAAGGCATTGAGACCCTGGAGTGTGTCCAGAGAAGGGCAGTGAGGCTGAAAGATCTGGAGCACAAGTCTGATGGGTAACAGCTGAGAGAACTGGGATTGTTCAGTCTGCAGAGAGAAGGCTTGGAAGACCTTACTGCCCTCCACAGCCACCTAAAAGAAGGTTGTGGCGAGGTGAGGGTCATTCTCTTCTCCCACGTAACAGCAAAAAGATGAGAGGGAGTGGCCTCAAGTTGCACCAGCGGAGGTTCAGGCTGGATATTAGGAAAAATCTTTTCTGAAAGAGTGGTGAGGCACTGGAACAAGCTGCCCAGGGAAGTGGTGGAGTCACCGTCCCCTGGAGCTTTTCATGAAATATGTAGATGTGGTACTAAGGAATGTGGTTTAGTAGGCAGCATTGGAGGACAGTTGGACTAGACAATCTTAAAGGTCTTTTCCAACCTTAAAGATTCTATAATTCTGTGGAGCTGTTTGAGGTTGGGTACTCAGCCCATTGGGGGCTGGAAAGTCCCACATGGCATAGATTCATTGTGCATGAATAGGGTCTTGGATGTCTTGGAGACTTTGTTAGCCTCCTTCTGTCAAGGGAAAAGGCATGTAGCTTCTATGAAACTCTGTCTAAGGGCATCTGTGTAGTAAAGTGACAGCCAACTGAGCATGTACAAAACTTTGCATCTCTGGCATAATGTCTGCAGACAGACCATTTTGTTTCCTTGGCACCTCCAATGCTCTGCTTAGAGATGCCATACCAAAGGATTTTTATACATGTATCTATCTGCTCTGGAAAAGAAAAAGACAGCTGAACAAAATGATAGCTGTTTCTGATTTCTGAAATCAGGCAGCTCCGGGAGCCCCGTGATTGGCCAAAAGATGGCAGCAGCCCCATGTCTTTGGGATTTCGTAGCCCTCTGCTTGAAAGGAAATGCCAAACAGAAAGATCACGTTTGGTATTTTTCTGAGTATCTCCTGTGTATTCCTCCAGCAGTGTTTTTATTTTTCTTCTTTTTTTCTTTTTTCTTTTTTCCCCTCCCAGCAGCAATTACTTCAGTTTTCTTTCTCCTTCCCTCACTGACAATGCTCTCAGAAGGAAGCTGTGCAATGCCATTGTCCCTGCTGTCTCCTCTTTCCACCCACTTGGGCTGATGCCAGTCCCTTGCTGCAGGACTCCACGTGCTTCCCCCTGCCTGTAATGCTGTTATTTTCCCTGGAAAACTGGCTGGGAGCCCCTCTCCCACCTCCCTTGTTTTCCACAGTCAGCCCCTCACAGGGAGGGTGAAAACAAGGAGGATGGAGTGAACAGATGTCTCCCAAGCTGCCCATCTCCTGCCTTTCAGAAGTCACCTGAACATCAGCCTGCACACCCTGCTGGAGCAGGGGGTGGGTCACAGGGACCCAGAGGTGCTTTCCCACATCACCCACCCTGTGATAAGGAGAAGGGGTGGTCTGCTCCCCCATACAAAGCACATGACCAAGCCTGGAACGCCCAGCTGAGGGCTGGTATGACATTTGGCTCTGCTGGTGTTTATCTCCAGATAACCCACTCTTTGAGATAAGCCACCCTGAGCCTATGGCAGTGCTCAGAGCTGAGCTGTGGAGATCACTGTGAGTAGCCTGCTCAATGGTTTTCAGTGCTGCCTAAGGAAGGCTTGGACTTTAATTTCCTGCTTTTTTCACTATTTGTTTTTACTTAAGGAGAAGTATTCGGGACATCTCATCTCATCTTGGCTGGTTTTGCTAGAAGGCTCCTTGGGTATTTCACAGGGTGTGCATATAGAACTCACCGTAAACAAAGCATGTCCAACCCTTCTCAGTGATGCTGACTTCCCAAAGCATTCACTAACAGCCTGTCCTTTTTTCTCATAATTTATGAACCACTTCCAAACAGCCCACAAAACAGCAACGCAGAATGCTTGGCTTAAATTTATGTTCTCAGCGGGCTTCAGGGTGAGGGAAGCTATACAAAGCTTTGCTTCAGAATCTGAATGTGTCAGCATTTTGCTTGCGAGGTTCACAGCACCGCAGCGCATGATTCTGTATGACAGAAAGCAGGAGCACGTCTGGCTCATTCAGCTCTCTGGCATTTTGGCTTCTCCTGAGTGCACCTTTTGTCCCACTGATTTTTGGTGTGGCAGCTGAAAGTCTCACCTGAACGTAACACAAAATGAATGCCCTGTCACATCAGTGTGGAGAAAATGGAACACAATGAACTTTATTAGCAGTGGCAGAGTGATTCTGTGGAGTCAGTGAAAGGATTTTGTAAAGAAAAGCAATCATTGAAGATTTTTTTGCTTGGCAGGAGTTTCTCTAGCAGCACAAACCAGAGATGACATCCTAGGGTGAGCCCCACGGGCTGGCTTTGCTCTTTCAGCAACAAGTAAATCCCCTATCATTTCAACTCATTAAGAAGGAGTGCACAGAGTGAGAGAAACAGACTGGCCTGAACAGAAGGCTCAAACAAGCAGTGGAACCAGTGGGAGAACCAGTGAAGCTGCCATAACATTCATTTCTATCTTAGAGAACCATAGAATCATGTAATGGTTTGAGTCCTGGTCCAACTCCCCTGCAGTGAACAGGGAACAGCTACATCAGGTTGCTCAGTGCTACATAAAGCCTGACCTTGGATGCCTCCAGGGATGGGCATCCACCACCTCTGTGGGCAACATGTGCCACTGCCTCACCACCCTTATTGTAAAAAACTTTTTCCTTATATCCAACCTAATTTTCCCCTCTTTTAGCTTGAAACCAGTTCCCCTTGTCCTATCACAACAGACCCTGCTACAGACTCTGTCCCCTAATTTTTTACAGCCCCTTTTAGATACTAAACAGCCACACTCAGGTCTCCCCAAAGCCTTCTCTTCTCCACACAGAACAACCCCAGTTCTCTCAGCCTGTTCTCCTAGGGAAGGTGTTTCCTCTTTCAGATCACTTCAGACATGCTCTAACAGGTCCATGTCTCTCCTATCTACCTAGGAAAGATCAGCCCCCAGAGATCAGACAGATAACTCAGAGACAAAGCCTCCAGCTAAATAAATACCCACAGAGCCACTTATTTCTGGTTCAGTAACACAAACTAAAAGGGAAAAACAAAACAAAACAAAAAAACAACAACAAAAAACAACCCACAATCAAACAAAAAAACACTAACACACTTCAAAACCTAAAGGCTATACGTGTTTTCTTATGGTTTGATAGGATAAAGTGCAGAAGCTGGCTTAAAATCCAGAATAATTGTAAATGCTCTCTGACAGCATGAGGCAGAACGCAGTGTGTGAACGCTTTGCATCTGGACTGTGCTGTACTGCTGCCTGGAGCTGAAGCACGGGGTGTGCTGGTGTTGGGGGCTTTGGTGTAATTGCAGTTTCTTATTCCGATTCATGCCTGGTTCGTTATGGAAAGCAGCCCAACCGTATGACTGGCATTTGAGTTGTTAATATGGCAGCTGGAAGTACATTGATTTAGCCAAAAGATTAAAAAAATGCTTAAAAAAACAAACAAACAAAAAAAAAAAAACCAAGAAATCTGAGCCTGACAATGTTTTACCTATAAATTTTGCAGTAAAGCAGATGGTGTGAATGGAAAAAATAATGCATATCCATAGAATTTGTGGTTTTGTTTGCACAGGCCTTTCGTTGCCAGCTGCTGCAGGATGGGCTTGCGTGCATGGATGCCTTGGGGAGATGGCGTCAGCCTGATGTGACCGGTTACCGTGTTGAGTAAACCTCTCCTACAGTGCTCTGCCGTGCGCCCTCACAGTGCTTGGGGCTCAGAGGAGTTACTCAGCGCCTGTCTGCACTGCAGAGTAAAGTCCTCCGGTGAATCAGATGTAAACTCACGTTTCTTAAGCATCTGAGGTGAAATGCTTGGAAAATTTACCTTGGAAAAGGACCAGGCTCGGAGGCCTCCAGCATATTTTGCTGTAGCTGCAATATCTCAGGACACCACCGAGTCAAAGGTTTGTAGACAGAGGTAATATTTTTCTTTATATTCCCTGGCAGAGCTGGAAAAATTAGAGGAGTTTTTGGGCACAAAAGCCAACCTATGAGTCACTGAGGGCTTTGAGAGATGAGCCTTGACCATGGTTGTTATGGTGGGTTAGACATTAATCCCCTTTTAAATTGAAGAAATGTTCTGTTGGTGTACAATACATAGGTGCTGAGGTTGCTGTCTGAGTGGAAGCAAACTTTCCCTAGTGTGAGGCAATGAAGAACAGGTCTCTGGGCAAAAAACAAAGTTGTGCCTAGGTGGAACTCCCCCCTAGCTTAGAATCATAGAATCACTAAGGTTGGAAAAGACCTCTAAGGTGACCTAGTCCAACTGTCATACACCATCAGTATGTCCCTGCTAAACCATGTCCCTTAGTACAACATCTCACATTTCTTGAACATCTCCATGGATGGTGACTCCACCACCTCCCTGGGCAGCCTGTTCCAATACTTGAACACCCAGGGCCAGGGCTGATGTTGGTGAGCAGCAGGAATGCTATCTTGGGGAATCCCTTGGGCGCTAGCTGGGATCCTGCAGACAGCAGTAAGAGGGAAATGGCTGCAGCTTTTAAGCAGTGTGCTTATGTATGCTGATTTCAAACCATTTAGGGTCCCCTTGCTAGCTCTGCTGGGAGAGGGTGATGCCAAACTGTGGTGCTGCTTTAGCTATGGATCTGCCCTTGTGCAGATGCTCCTTGCAACCTTTGTTTGTATCCTGGGAGCACATCTGTCTCACCTGAGCTCACACAGAGCCCTGTCTGCAAGTGCAGCCAAGGATCCAGCTGCCTGTTCATGCCCTTCAAGTTAACGCTGCACCCATGGTAGGATCTGTAATGAGATCTGTTGTGGGACTACATGATGGGACCCACAATGGGACCCACGATGGGATACATGATGGAACATGTGCTGGGAACACGATTTAACCTGTCAGCATGCTGTCACATGGTGAGGTACTGTCTGGAAAGGAGAAAGCCTTACCTCCAGAAATGTATGGGGTGGAGGTATATAGGGGCCAAAGGAAAGAGGAGGGTACTGAACAATAACTGGCCTTGTATTAATTCCAGCTGAATTGCAGGAGGAATATAGCCTTGCAGGCACTGATGTTTATTAAAGCCTTTATTCTCAAATATGTCCAGGTTGCAATTGGAAACCAAGAAACATGTCCCTTCTACCAATGACAGAGTGGTCTGGTGATATTTTGGTGCACCTGTCTTAATGCAGCTGTACTTGCCATTGAGCACTAGCCATGCAAGATATCTGTTTACTCCTCCCCTTGCATCTGAGAGTGGCACCTCTCCGTCAGTGCAATAAGCAGCAGTTTTCCCCCTTGCTTTCCCTTCCCCAGCTGGCCAGGCTCAGCCAGTTCTCAGGACATGTCCCCACTGACTGATGAGGAGCAGCAAAGCTGTATTGTTTTTCAGCTGGGAAGGATCAAAGAGTGCACCTTCACCAGCTCAAGCTGCTGACATTAACAAGCTATCGCTTTACCCTGGCTGGTGTGGATACTGTGACATTGCCATGCTGAGGAACCAGCTGGCACAGCAATCCAGCAAAGCCTTGCAAAATGCAGGGCCTCTGGCCAGAGCTTCCCTGCTTCAGCAAAAGGCTGCAGCTGAAAATAGGCCCTCCTTTCCAAAGGACGGCCCCTCTTGAATACTTGGCATGCCCACAGCGTGTGATGGGCGAGTTAGGCATTGTTAGCCTGCTGAGAATAGGATCCTCTGGGGAGAGGGAGGGTGGCAATGCCTGTTACTGAGGGAGCTGGGACTTTTAACACCTGTTACTGAGGTAACTATTGTGCGCATGCACCAGGGATGTCTAGAGTCATGAAGGTCTTATGTCACACCTCCCAGCAGTGTCCTTCCCACGTCCGCAAACTCACTGGCCACCAAACCTGGCTGGCATTCAGCACTGCTGTAGGACCCTGGTTGTACATTTACTTTCTGTGCAGCCTGTTCTGGCTTAGCAGGGATACACTCTGTGCTTGGAGAGGGCTGGCGGAAACATAAGCTCTCTGGCTTTTGTCCTTTAAATGTCAAAGAAAAGGGCAGAAACCAGTTGCAGAAGATGGGGCAGCAAAAGTGGAGGCTGTGGAGCTGTAGACCTACTGCCATTATGAACACCTAAGGCTGGGGTCACCCTGTCAAGGCCCATCCTGCCCAGCAGGGTTCACAGGAGGTTTTCTCCCCACACCTCACTGCATTCCAGACCACAAAGCACTTCCTGACCATCTTTGAGCCAATTTAGATCAACAGGACAAAAGACCAAAAGCCATAAACTCTGTTACAGTACAGGATGATGGCAGGTGAGATCCAGAGCCTTGCCAGCATGCCAGCAGCTGGCAGGAGAAGTATTTTTGTGAGATGAACATGTGGGGAGGAGTCTGCAGAGGACAAATCCTGCACTTGAGTTGCTCAAAGTATTTTGATGTCTGTAGCATCTATGGGGAAGCTCAAACTCCATGTGCAATGGATAGCTGAGGAAGGGCTTGGCATCAGGTTGTGAATGGCAAGCCCCATGGCCCAAACATTCTGCAGTCCCATGCTTACTCATGTCTGGGATGCAAGGATAGGATTCAGCTCACTAAACTTGGAAAATGGTGTTGGACACTGTTCTAGGCTTGAAAGGGTCTCAAAGAAAGGAGTGGATTTGGCTTCCATAACCCTTCTATGTTGCTCACTTTAATCACAGCCTGAAGTTATCTTGTTTACAGGTGGAAGGCATAGGCTCAGGTCTGCTTGAAACTTGGTCTTGAAAAATTTGTGAACCTCTCTCAACTTGGATTTTGTCTTACTCACTTTATCAGTTTATGAGGAAGTACAAGAAATTCACTGCTGCATTTTTATGCACACAGCCATTTATGCCAGCGCAAAGTTTGCAAACGTGGATCCAAAACACTGGTGCTGCTGTGGAAGCATTCTGCAGTCCCCTTGTCTGTAATTCCCATCATTATGGAGATCCTGACTGTGGGTTTCCAATATTTACTTGAATCTCCTTTTCCTGGAAGATTTAAAACACAGGTTTCCCTAGGAAAGGCACCTTCCTTCTTTGGTCTGAGGCCGGTCCAAAACTTTCTGAGTGATGACCTGGACACAAACCCATGGTTTCCTAAGGTGGAGAAGAAGAGGAAACTGTAGGAAATTACATTGTCTGAATGCAGCAGTCTTCAGGGAAGTAAACAGCAGATTGGAAGCTGAGGCTGATGCAGCTGAACACGCAACAGGGACCTTGTGTCCATGGAGAGTATTGTTCAGGGGAGGATGGGAAGTGTTTGTGCTCTTGGAGTGAGATCTAGATCCTGCCACAACAGGACAACTCCAGGTACCTCATGGGTTTTCAGTTAATACCAGGCCACAGAAATTAATTGCTCCCTGTGGGTATACTCAGCCAGCATGTCCTTGACCAGGAGTGCTCATTTTAAAAGTCCTGCTGAAGGGCATCCTGCAAAGGTTTCAGATGCTTTTGGTTGCTTGATAGGTTACTGGGGTCTTTACATGCTGGGAAAAACAAGCTGGTTTCATGTATACTCACTATGTAGCCCATGGCTGAAGTTTCTATTTTAATGGTCCATTAAAATCCTGCCCTATTCAGCTACACACCTTTGTCATTGTTAATAGTGTCAATGTATTTTAAACAGCATTCTCCATATGGGGACTTACAAGTTTCTGCATAGCCCTCAAGCATTACTTTTAATTTTTTTAACACGCTTTCTCTTAAGAGGAGGAATATGACCCAGAGTGATCAAATCTAGACAAAACAGCTAGACATGGTTCAATGCAACTTTTCTGTGCAAAGGCCAGACAAAAGGATGGCTTTGCAAAGTTCTTAAAACAACTTGACTCAAAGCAGTGGAATTAATTTGCAGACATTGTTCTTGCCTATTCACATCACTTGCCACACGGTGCAAGGGTATGTGTTGGATGAAAGACTTCTGACACATCTTGGTTGCTCTTGAAAACAGGCTTAAAAGTAGCTAGACGTTGGTTCTGTAAAACCTTTTTGATTAGGGCTTCATTCACCCAATCAGAGAGGGTGATGCTGAGACCAAGGGGGCAAGTGAACTTTGGCCCATTTGCAGATATGATGAACATGAGAACTTTGGGCCTCCCAAGGATGCCAGAGGGGCATTGCCTTCATTCCCTCAAATGACTTTGACAGATATGGCTCAAATTATTTAAAATGAAGAACCTCCAAAGAAATGAGGCAAGATGTCATACCTGAGGAGGTATTTTGAATGATGAGCAGCCAGAATTGGCAAAGAATCAACAGATAAATGGGAAAAAGTAATGTGGGCTAGATGATTCAGAGGAGACCAGAGGCTCAATCTGGGTTGAGATGTCTTTGTACACATGTGGGAAGAATGTATATCACTATTAAAATTTGAATTGCTGCTCTGTCAAGACATTATCACAATGGCTGTGGAGAAGTAATAAGCTTGGGAGTTTTATTCCATGGCTTACAGATGAGGGACTATTGACACAAATCTAGGATTGGTACCTCTTTCAGAAAATTACTGTTATGAGAAGACTCATTAGAGATAATATTCTCATTTCCTTTCTGGCAGCAAGTCTGCAAACTAAAATAAACAGTAGGATGCTCCTCATAGATGGGAAAAGACATATTCCTGTATTGTAATCCAGAGGGATAATATATATTCATTTTTCAAAGCAGTGCAGGTCATTTATCAGCAACATAGCTTTGTCCTTGGCAAGATTTTATTTAGTGTGTGTGCACAGCACAGCCTTATACCATGGTATGAGTTCTCCACTAGACAGCTGAAGGCTTGGTTTTGGTTTTGATCCATGCTCTGCAAGAGTCCTCTTGTTTCAGGTCTAGTTACAAGCCCTTGAGTTGCTAAGCTTCACCAAAGTGTTGGCTCACTAAGGATAGGTAAGCCTGAGATGAGAATCACATGAGTCTGGGCCAAGTTTAAGAAACCTCTCTGCTTCTTAGGAAGGCATCGTTGCTTTGGGTCAAGCCAGGCAAAAGGTCCATTAATGTTTCTGACTGAGACAAAGCGGAATGTAAGGAATGTGTGCCAAGTCCCAGTGCCCACTGCCTGTGTCTTGTACAGTTTCTGTCACTGCAGTTCTTAAAATTAGGATGTTTATTTCTCAGTGGTGTAACTCAGCTTTGCCAGTGGGATTTTGGAGAGACTTTAGAGGACTAAAGCTTCTCCCTTGGCCAGCAATCCGTTCTGCCTGGCTCTCACCCAGGACAACTCTTCTCTTGTCCCAGTTAGAAAATTGTCCTGCTCTAAGGGGAGAGATGTTTTCCTGCTTTCCTCATGCTGTGGTGCCCTGAGAGCACTCGTAATGATATAACATCATGTTTGCACTGAAAAATGCCCCTAATTCATGGTGCTGTGAATCTGTAACAAGTCACCCGAGTGCGTGCTTGTTTTAAAAGTAAAACAGTGATGAGCCTGGGTGGGGAGCATGCACCCAGCTTGTATCAGGAAGCTGGGAGCAGCCAATGGTCCTTGGTTCATTTACCCAAGGGCCACCCCACCGGCTGCTTCTGCCCCAATCTGCCCACACTTGGCACTGCTGGGCACTGCCAGGATGGCCAAGTGTGGCTGCCTGTTGAATGTCACCTCTTTGTGTGGGAAGGGCTGTTAGAAGTGGCTGAAATGGATACTGAGCCAACCTCACTGTTGTCCTTCAGTGCTTGACACAGGTCATTCGGTGCAGCCATCGCATGGCAGCATTTGGAGATCCCTGCAGCTCCGGGTCACAGGCAACACTGGCTCAGCTAAGGTCAGTGAGTTTAACTGCGGTAAAACCAGGGCTTGTTTTCTCTCTGGGAAAGGACAGAAGTTGTGGCAAGGTGTTTTTCTTAGAGGCAAGGCAGCCACTTCTCTCTGTGTGCTCTCATTCCCATGTAGGGTAAGCAGATACACATGGAAGCAAAAGGAAAAAAGTGCTTTCAGTTTGAAAGTATCTGTGCTCAGAGGCAACAAAATATGCAGGCTCCTTATTCCCCACTGAAATAAAAGCAGGTAAAGTGTATTACCCAGTGAGGTGGTAGAAACTCTGTCCCTGGAGACATTCAAGATCAGGCTGGACAGGGCTCTGAGCACCCTGATCTAGATGTAGGTGTCCTTATTCATTGCAGTAGTTGGACCAAATGGCCTTTAAGGGTCCTTTCCAGCTCAAATGATTATCTGGTTCTGTGTATGTCCAGGGTTTCCCAAGTGAAATGCTGGGAACCCAGCCCAGCCCGAGTGCATTAGCACTGTGGCTGGAAGTATGGCCAGAATCAGGCTGGTGGCTCCCAGTCAAATGGAGTGGGCATCTCCTTCTTGGACATACCTCAAGGGTGCCTGCAGGCTGCTGGAGTAGGTACAGAGCCCTGTTCCCAGAACTCTTCCATGGCTCCTGCCTGCCCTTTTCTATGTCAAACCTCCTAAGGAAGGGCAGGCAGCGGTTTTACCAAGGTGTAGGTAGAGCACTAAGTCCTCAGGATTTGGCTTCCTTGAAGGAGTCCCCACACAAGATCTTCCTGATTGTTTAAAGAACGTGTTTGAAACAAATACGGATTCCTGCTTTACCTCAGCAAGCTGACATGTGTCATCCTCTCTCCTTCCCCCCAGGGAAATGTGCTGGCCCTCCTATGCCCCCTTTTCATCCGTGTTCTTAAATGAGGCCACAACTCGCTGAAAGTCCTTGTAAGGATTCCTGTGAAGAATAAATCAAAACAACATAATCAGATAAAAAATTAATTGCTTTTCCACCTGCTGAAGGTTATAAAAAAACAAAACAAAAAAACAAACCAGCAACTTCTGCCACTAATCAGTCTGTTTTCTATCTGCTTTTATTTTAAAATAAAATACAGGCAAGTATAATAATTATCTATTGTTGAGAAATGATTAACTTGAGGAAACATTTGTGGTGGAAGGAAATTTAAGTCCAATTTAACCTCGGGACCTGCCAGGAGCAGTGGGAGCACCTGCAGGCTGAGCATCGCCTGGATGGGAGCTGCTCCTTCCTTTCCCTGCTCAGTGAGTCCAGTGCGATAGGGTTTAGACACAGGTTGTGTTGGGTGGTGCTGTGTGGAGCCAGAAGTCATATTCAGTGTTCCTTGTGGGTCCCTTCCAGCTCAGGATATTCGATGGTTCTGTGACTCATCTCTGCTTCCCAGCAAGACCCTGGAAGATGTGTTCTTGCCCAGCTGTGCTGCAGGTACCATCTATTCTCAGGCATTCAGGAAAACCCAGTGCCATGGCCATCCTACTGGCTACATTTATTTGTTCAGCTTCCCTCTCTGCCCCATCTCTCACCTAAAATTAGTGCTAAGCACAAACATGCAAAGACTTTCCAAACAAATTATTGTGCAATCTGCAAATGTCTGCCTGGGCTGATTGCTCAGGTTGCCTTATTAGCATTGCACCTGCTTTAAGCATCGATGCTACCAAATCATATGGAAAAACATGCAAATTCTGTGTAGCTTTCTGGCAAATTAGCATGCTTCCTGCTCAAAGGTGAAGATTATGTAGAGAAGTACTAACATAATCTGACTAATTACTGAAGTAAGCAAATTAGGTGAAAAGATAACTAAAAAAGGGCATAAGCATCAATTCAATCATATGGAAAAAAACTGATGTAAGGATAACACAAAGGGTGTCTGTGGTTTGTCTGCATGGTGCTTGATGCATGGAGCTGTCTACTTCCCTGCTGGCAAGCAGCATGATGGTGGCTGCCTGCTTTAGCAAAAGGGAGGCACAGGATGTTCGTGTTTGAAGCACAAGGTACTAGCTTTCTTGATAGAAAGACAGAAGCATTAGTGATACTGATGTACCCAGTCTATGGTTACCGAGTGGCCACAAAGTTCAGTCCTTTGGGTGTGTATCCTAAACATCTAATGATATCAAGTACTGTGGGAAAAATCATGGGCATAATCCTAGAAGTTAAAGGTTTCTTAAAGTGTACATACTTGAGGCTGTGCAGGCAGCCTTCAGCCTGCCTGGAATCATAGAATCATAGAATCATTAAGGTTGGAAAGAACCTCTAAGACCACCTACTCCAACCATCAGCCCATTCCCACCATGGCCACTGCCCACATCCCTCAATGCCACATCACATGGTTCTCGAACACCTCCAGGGACGTTGGCTCCACCACCTCCTTGGGCAGCCTGTTCCAATACTTCACCACTTTCCCTATGCTAAATCTCCCAACATCCACTGCATCATTTATTTCTACCTTGCTTGTGCTACACAAGCCATGAGCACCTGGCAGTGCCATCCCTGTTTCCCAAGTAACTAGCACACACAGCTCCATTGGCTCTGGGGACCAGCAACCTTCATCTTGCACATCTCCAAAGGGTCTCTGCTGTCCCTTGTGCTGCCATGTGCTCCTAAAGGCACAGTACTATCTTCTCCCTATGTGCTGCATCTTCATAGGAGTCTCTTTTTTGAAAGCTTAAAATCCGCTTTGATAAACTTCTCAGAAAGCCACTTCTAGTCATCTTAAAACCATCTGATTACCTTCTACAAACACATGCAGATGTTTAGTTCTGTTAGAAACTGAGTGCTGGTGCATCCTAACACCTTCATCCATTATCTTCCAGGAGTGTTTCTGTGTGCTTCTGCCAGGGTGATATTGCACTGTCTTCCTCTGTGCCCTCTCAACAGCTCCCTTTGCACCTGAACAATTTCAATAGGCAAGAAATGTGCCTGTGCTGCAGAGTCAACTATGCTATCTGCCTTAGAGAGCTTGGCACATGTCCTGATGGGACAAAATGAGAGATCAAGCATGCAAGAAGCAACCAGAGCCATTCCTCAGACAAGTGCTCGCTGAGATTGCACAGGCCATAGGACATACATGTACAAGTCCTGGAGCCAAACAAATGGGTTGTGTTCTCCCTTCAAGTAGCATTTCATCATATCTGGAAGTGGAGAGCATGGGCCAAAAGAGCCGTGTGATGCACTCATTTAGTAAAGAATACCTATTCACTTCCTGCTTTTGTATGTTAGAATTTGACTTTTATCACTGAGGAATATTGTCTGAAAATGCTCCCCCCTCTTTGGGATGGCCTCAGTTTTCATGTCACGCTAGGACCCTAACAGCTTGTTTTCTGTTGGTTTTGCCTGCAAAGTGCAATTAGCACTTTGTGCACATTTGATCAGGTGCTAATTTAACTCAGGGGATGATTTACTTTCCTAAATATGTGCTAAAAGTTCTCTTAAAGAAAACAAACAAACAAAAAAACCTGTGTAGAGCAGGATGGAAGGATGGAGGCAGAGAGAAAGCAGCAGACAGAATATTTTTAACTGGACCAAAATGATGAAATTCATTTTCCTGCTCATCTCCAGCTCTTTGGGCAGGCATCTCACTGCTGCACTCCTTGCCAAAAAGGCACACTTCTCCGAGAGAAGTCAATTGATGTTCCTTAAATCCAGGGCATTCAATGTGCATGCAAACTTTTCTACATACAACTGAGTTGTCAGAAGTACGTCCTTGGACTGGACATGCCTTGAAATCCTAGAATCGTAGAATCAGAATCATATGATCATAGGATCATAGAATATCCTGAGCTGGAAGGGACCCATAAGGATCATCAAGTGCAACTGCTGGCTCCACACAGGACCATCTAAAAATCAGACTGTATGTCTGAGAGCACTGTAACCATCATTGCAGCATCTTCCTTCTCTTTTTTCTTTTTATTTACTTATTTTTATTTTAAGAGAAGCTCAGCTTCAGTCTTGGCAATAACTGTTGAACCTGTTGCAGCCTGTTGGCTACTGATGTAGCCAGCATCGAACACACAGAGGAGTTTGTTTCTTTCGTGTTCTATTCAGTGTTGTTTAGGAAAATAAAATGAAGTTTCAATAAAAGGGGATTTTGGAAGGAAATACCCCAAACTCTGAGAAATGTGAGCATCACTAGATACTTCTGACAGCTCTTGCCATTGTTATAACTTGAATTGTCAGTTACAGCTGAGCCCCTGGTGAGCTCTGGATTTGTGGATACGTGTACACAAGGTCTTTTTCTTCACCCTCATTTTGCATGAGTTAAGCCATAGCTATTCCATCATTTCCTTAGAAGCTTATTCAACAACAGCAAATTTTCACTGTCAGATATACGTAGATCACCCTGGAAGCAATGTCTCCTATTTATTTCCATGGAAACTAGAACACATACAAAGAACACAATAACACTGCTGGATAGAGCAATTTCTCAGCTACACAACACTATTTGTCAACATAGTCACCGCCACTAGTTGCACATTTTTGCCAGTAATGAACAAGAGCCTGCATGCTGCACTCATAAAAATCTGCACCCATGGAGGTGACCCACTGTTTCACAGCTGCTGTGATGGTGTTGTTGCAAGGAAAATGTCGTCCAGCTTTCATCAGTCTGAACAGCTGGAAGTCAGAACGTGCCAAATCCAGACTATACTGTGAGTGTGGCAGGACAATATGCTCTGTGGTCTTCAAATTGGTATGAGGCCTGGCATTATCATGTTGCAAGAGAAAGATTGTCTGCTGCACCCATTCCCTGGGGACTTAGGAACTTTATCCTTTTGTGAATGAGGCCACCTGAACCTCGTTCAGCGAATGTCAAGAAGTGGCCAGGGGCTGTAATGGGCTGCCTAGGGAGTTGGCTGGGACATCGTTCTTGGAGGTAGTCAAGAACTGTTTAGATGTTGTACTGAGGGATATGGTTTAATGGGGAAATATTGGTGGTAGGTGGATGATTAGACTGGATTATCTTGGAGGTCTTTTCCAACTTTGGTGATTCTGTGATTCTATGATTCTGTAATTTTTCTCTAGCTGACTCTGGAAGTTTGAGCCTTCAGCTTAGTCAGTGTTGCGATGTAGTGGTAAGAGTTCAGGTTCCAGGAAATCCAGAAGTATGACCGCTTTCGTATCCCAAAAGACAGTGCACATCTCTCAACCTGCTGAGGGCTGCATCTTAAACTTTTTGTTCAGTGGGGAATTCACATGTCGCCGCTTCATGGACTGCCACTTTGACTCTGGCCTATAGTGGTGACAACATGTCTTGTCACTGATAATTATGTGATCCAGGAAACTATCAGCTTCAGCCTCAGATTGATTCAATAGGTCTTGATAAACTTAATTTTAACTTGGTATAGCTCAAACATTGCTAGCTTCATTGTCTCCTTGAAAACACAGAAGGCCCTGGTGAAGACGGGTAAAGGGGACAGTCTCAAATGCAAAGTGATCCCTCATGATATGAGGGGTGAGTTCCAGCATGGGAAAAATGTGGTGAGGCCAGGTCACTGCTGGCTTCATGAGAGTACCTTTCAGAGGCCACAGGGCTTTGCTCAGGCTTGAGAACCTCTGCAGCTACTATTTTAAAGGACACTGGCACCTTTTTGGGAAACAGAGTGCATTCTTCTTTTACAGAACTTCTATCCATCCCACAAATGTATTCATTTGCATACCTTATCTAGCTTTTCTGCCTGAAACTATTTCCACATATTTTACTTACCCCATTTAAATTGCTTTTATACCGTGTCTAATACCCTGCAGGTCCCTTCAATTCACAACTGCTGTTATTTAGTGAACTGTTCTCCCTAGGTCAACAGACTTTCATTTCAGGGTAGATAATCCTGAGTATATCCCCTGCGGGAGGTAGGGCTCTGCTCTGCAACGGAGAGACTCTTTGTTAGGGTAATAAACTGAGAGCAGGATTTAGAAGAAATTACCTCGGA